GGAGCTGCCCGGCAGCGGGAGAAGCACCCGGAGGTTCCCGCTGTCTCCACGGCTGTGGAAAGCTGCTGTAGGGCTGTGACAGGGCTCTGTGCCCGCCGGACGGCTCTGTGCCTGCGCTGGTGCGTCTCCAGCTTACCCTGGTTGCGCACGGAGGGTTTGCAATGTGCAAATTGGAGCAACACGTAACAGAAGGGGGTTTTTTTCTTACTTTGGGAAGTTGTCTCCCATTGCACAGGGCAAGCGTTGGGATGGCTTTGGCACCATGCGGGACCATCCTCGCCTAGACTCCGGTCCCTCCCTGCAGGAGCTCCCAGGCCTGCTGCTGGGCACCTGCTTCCCGCAGCTGAGCATCCGCTGGGTGGCACATGAGGACAGTTCTCCTCAATCCGCTTCTCCTCCTGAGGGCAGGATGCCTTTCCTCCTTCAGAAGGCGCCCTGGGAGCAGCTGGGGTGTAGCTGCTCTCCCAGACATGTTCAGAGGAACCATTTCTGTCCAGTACGCTCTGGGCTTTCTCCTCCCTTGGTACTTCTCATTTGCACCCCTGTCCAACAAAGTCATTGGTTATTTTCAGAGCTGTTTATTGGAAAGGGGAAATGTTAAGAATGGGATTCTGCTCTCTTCCTGAAGCCTTGTAGGACCTTTTCTTTCCACAGGATATTCTCTGTCCCCTCTCTCCTCCCCGGTGTGAAACTCATGTTTTTGCGTTGCAGGAGTTGTTTGTTGAAACCATAGCCAAAGATGCTTACGTGTATGCTCTGCAAGGAAAAAGGAAAACTCTGCAGAGAAAAGACCTGGGTATGAGCGCGTGTTCTGTGCTATCCTTAGCAAAGGGTTGCTAGGGCGGGCGATTTTTCCACCTGTCCTGCTGTGATGAAGCAACCGTAGGTGCTTCTTTTTATTTTTCTGAAGATGGGAGAGAAAAACTCTTTACCGAATATTACGCTAGTAATTTCACACAGTAGCTCCAAAACAAGTAAACCTCTTTGAAATTGGTCACTGTACTGTGAGGTCATTTCAAATGCTGCTGTTTGAAGCAGGTGCAAATATGGAGTCGGTTTGTCTATGTTAATTGTTTTCAATTTGCTTTGCAGATAATGCCATTGAAGCTATTGATGAATTTGCTTTTTTGGAAGGTGAGTTTCTACTTGGTTTCACGTGGTTTCAGTGTTTTGTTTAATTTCCTTCTTGGGAGAGAAAGAACTTAATCATTTGCAGAGCCCTCTGTTTACACATCTTTAATAATTAATAGTGTGACTTGTTATGCCTCTCTCTGAGAGGTGAAACACAAACCAAGTGGGCCCTGAGACACGTACGATACTTTTTAACTAGATTGGTTTTACTAGTGTGTTTTGGTTAATCTTTAAAAAGTTGCTGCATATTCCTTTGGCAGCTTGTAAACAAGTTTCAGTTTGTTCACATAACTAACTGCATTTGTGGTTCCTGAGGCTATAAATCTTTTCTTTCATTTTTAGGTACTTTGGACTGAGCTGGAGAGAGAGCTCTCTGGAGAAAGAGACCGCAGAGATGGACATACGGTGGAAAACAGGATGTTGAGAGTTCAAAAATAGTTCCTAGAATTGAGACACTGAAATGGCAACCGTAATATTTTGTATAAAGTTTTAAGTTGTTGTAAGTTCTTTATTTAAAATACATATTTTTTTATAAATATTTTGTATGTCACTGAACTGTGCCCTGCTGCCACGGTGCAGACTGCTCCCCAGCGTTGGCCAGGTCACACGGCCGTTGCTCGGAGCAGCAGTCCCTGCCTCTCCAGGTACTTTGCAGCACCACAGAGCTGTGAATGGAGAGTGGCTCGGCTCTGATGCCCAGGCATGGTGAATTTTTTTTAATGGAAATGTATTTTTCTTTGTTTATGTTTGTTTCTTGGCCAGACACAATTAAATTTATTTTTTGTTGTTGAACAGCCGTCCTGGTTTCTCCTCTGTGCTTCTGGGATGAAGGGGGTGGTGTTCCTGTAGCACTGTGGTAAATGGCGTAGTTTTGAAAGGATGCCTTCAAACAGCATTTTGCTTTTGCTAATTGTTTCCTCAAAGATCTATCCCAGCGAAGCCCAGCTGTCCTCCACAAACTACGTATAAGCTCCAGGGAGACTTGGCTTGTTCCTGGAGGTGTACAGCTTCCATAAATTTCTGCGATTGCTGCACCTGTAAGTAATTGTAGACAAAAAAACCCACGCAACCCCTCCAAAACCCTGTTTGAGCACCAGAGTGGTGTCAGATGCGTTACGCTGTTCTTTGTGCACTTTCATTCCTGAATCTGGCAAAAAACATTTCCCGAGGAACTGGACTGTTCACTGCAACATGCATCCAGCCAAGTCAGTGCAGAGATCCCAACTCCTGTAATTAACAGCCACATGCAGCAAGTGTTCGGGACATACTGCTGCCCTCACCGGCATGTCTGTGAGTCCCTCACATCACACAAGCACCGTCTGTGCCTCTTGTTTCCAGGGCTCGGGAGTACTTTCCTACATGTATTTAAGAAGCTAGAAAGAAAGATGCTGCCTCCTGCCCCTGGGCTCGGTCACTGAAAAGAGGCAGAAGCAGAGCTGCAGGCTTCTCTGGTCGTGGGGAACATGCTGATGTGACTGAGTCCTACTGTGCTGCTGTCTTTATCGAAGAGCCAGCTTTGTCCCAGTTTTGGTGTTGTGGAGGGACAAAAGAGGGTTGTCCCTAGATAAAAAGGCCATTGAATACGATGAGTGAGGATGAAGGATGCGTGTTTCTTTCAAACGGGAGGACTTGAAAGTGACTCCAAGTCACCACAAACTTAATTAGTTTGAAAGTGGTGGTAAGAACAAAGACCCCCAAGGGAGCTTTCCCAGGCTGGGAGCAAAACCAGTTGCTCTCAAGGAACACTTTGAAGTTTGCTGGAAGCCGGATCCCTGGAGACATGTTGTGGGAGAGATGCCATCACTGCCCAGGCTGCCTGGCTGTTGGTTCACATCACAGTCTGGAGACATTTGCCGGCGGTATGCGAACCCGTTTGTCTCTGAGCTGCTCACCTTCTCGCCTGCTGAGGTGCACTATGCAGGACCCGCTGGCTGTGGTCTTCTTGGCAGGGCTCTTGCATGCTCCTGTCTTTGCCAGTAAGTTCCTTTTTCCTTCTCACTGCTTTGGCCTCTTGCATAGGAGAGAGAGAAGGGCTTGTGCGGGTTTGCGGTGTGAGGCTGTGCGTGGGCTTCGTTCATATCCGAGGCTTCTGTATGGACACCGTGTACGTTTCGCTGGGAGCAGCATGGATGGTTGTCTGTCCTCGGCAAATAATTTGGGGTTTGTCTTGGAGGAAACAGCTATGCAGAAATCTTTGGGGAGCCTGTGAGCTGCTTTGTGCTGTGTGAGATGGCTGCTCTTACCGGAGCTTGCATTGCAGGAATGGGGAAGTAGACTAGGGCAGGGGATGGCTGTCCTAAGATAAAACACGGCTAAACACAGCATTTTCTTGGAGTGACTGAACAGGCGGGGTGTTCAGCCCTACCAGCCACGTCTGAGAGGTCAAACTAGTCATGTTCGTTTATAACTCCTCTAAATCTCTCCCTAATGCTGAAGCCGTTTGGTTCAGGACAGCAGGTGGCTGGAGGCTTGTCCCCAGTGCTCAGAGCCTCCTCCCAGCTCCAGCAGGAAAGGTGGGGAATTCTAATGGGTGGTGCTTGGACTTGTGACTGCGGAGACCAGAGCCATCAGCAGAGAGGACGAGCAGGGAAACCTGTTTGCAGGGAGGGGCTGCTGCAGGAGGCAGAGCCATTTCCTCCATGTGGGCACGGCGAGTTCCCCCTTAGCCCTCCTAGAATCATCGAATCACTAAGGTTGGCAAAGACCTCAAAGATCATCAAGTCCAACCATCAACCCACCACCACCCAACCCACTAACCCATGTCCCGAAGCACTGCATCGACACGTTTCTTGGCCCCCTCCAGGAATAACCCTGGATCCTTTAAGCTTCCCCATGCACATCCCACCCATCGTCCCTTGGTGGTTTCTTTTTGTTGAAATGATCCGAGTGACTTTTCCCTCAGGGGATTAAGGACAGAAACATGCCGGGGACTCATCGCCCAGATAATCCAACGCTTAAAGCGTGTTTTGTAGAATAGGAACTGATGAGCAGCCTGGCCCCTTGGTCTGTTCATCTGCACGAAGAAGGCTTCGTTTTCTGCACCAGCGTGCTGCAACGTGATTGAGTTCTAAGTACGAATTCTGCATTTGGCTCCGTTTGAGACTGTGTAAATTCTGTGTAAATTCAGGACTACTGCAGAGTGTTGGTTCCCAGGATTAACACTGGAAGGGCTGTCAGCAAAACACCAGGGTGTCTTGACTTGCCTGTGCAGAGGGGGTAGGAAATTGCTCCATTTGTTCACCAGAAAGAAAGCCTGTGGCCTTCAGGAGTAGCCTGTGGTCTCGGTTCCCCTTGCAGTGGCAGTAAGGCTGCATGAAATGAACTTCAGATGATTTGAGCACAGATACATGAAAACAGCTTTAAACTGTGTAGCCAAAAGTCAGAGGTTTCTTAGGTTTGTTTTCAGTGCACGTACTTGTACAGATTTAGCCTTTAGTGTTTGCAAAACCCCAAGTTCTTATGTGAACAGTAGGAATTATAAAATGGTCATACCCAACTGAAGAACTGTCACAAGCAGTGACAGCACATCAGCTCCAGAGGAAACAACTTTAGGAGAGTAAATAATGATGAAAACAGTAAAAATAGTAATAAGTTAGTGATAAAAATAATAAACACAACCTGTATCACTCAGGGGTGGGAGAGCAGGGGTTAACAGTGTCTTCAGCTGGCAAAGGGTCCTTTGCAGAGTGACCCGGTGTCTGCACCCTTGCTGGGGGTGAGGGACATCCCCAGGGATCACCCCAGGAGTGCCCAGCCCACTGCAAAGGGCCCCCGGCTTCCTGCTCCCTCGCGTCCCTGGGCGAAGAAATCCTCACGCAGCAGCTCTAACCCCAGGGTGAGGTTAAAACATCCCTGCGTATTTCTTGGTGTCGTGCAGCGTGGGGATGGTGTCTCTCATGCTGACACTGAAAATCGGTTTTGAAATCAATGCAGAATTCTCGTTTAGCAGCACGCGCTGGGTCTGCAGCTCCAGCAGGTTGAAGCAGATGAATGATAGTGGGGGAACTCCTCAGTGGCACTTCTGAGGCCAGTGTTCTTCCCTGTTATGATGAAATGAGGATTTGGACAACACCATTGGGGAAAAATATCTCATTTTGGAAGGATTTCCAGAAGAAACAGCCATTAGCCAGTAACCACTGATGTTTTACAAACTCAAAATACAGCAGATGGATCTAAACCTGGATGCCACGGGCGCAGGTCTCCCCTCTTCTCACACCTATTCCTGCCGTCCCGTCCTCTGCCCGTGGTACCAATGCGGCAACCAGCAGGTTTGGGGAACGGTGAAATTGGGACGGGTGCAGGGGGCAGGTTTGTTTGCAGATCAAGCAGCTCCATGAACAGGTTCGCAGGGCTGCAGGCGAGGGGAGCGGCGTTCTCTTCCTGCCCTGGACCGCTGGGTGCTCAGGCTTGTTCCGCGAGCTCAAGGTGTGCAGCTCCGCAGCAGCGGAGCATTCCCTTTGCTCATCAGTGTGTTCATCTATTCTCACCCCATCCTTCATGAGCTCACTGAAGAAAAGAAAACCTACCGTTTCCTAGCGAATTTTTAATTGCATTCTTTTTCTTCTGTAGTGCACTTGCCAGTCTGTTATTAAATGTTCCACTTTTGCTCTGCAGACACAGTAGACACATCTGCAGCGCCGGTGAAGGGCTTTCTCCCTGGGATTTCTGCAGGTGCTCCCGCTGAAGGAGTCTCTCTCCCAGGCAGAGTTCCCAGGGAGGGACCATGTCTTTTTTGTTCAGCGTTTGTGTTGTACTTGGCCCTGGTTAGGGCTTGGGCCTCCCCAGCATCACGCACGTCAGGGTGGACGTTGGGAAGTGCCGGTCCAGCTGCCTGGAGCAGATCAGCTCCCCCCACCCCAGCCTCCTGGGGGTCTCCAGACACTCCTCCGTGCTCGATTTCCTTAGGAGCAAGGTGAGAAAAGTGCATTTGTGTCATCCCCGCGGCAGGAGCACCTGGGTCTGAGGGAAGGTCGTGCACTGGTGCCTGGGGCTGTGATTTTATGTGTTTTAAAATACCTGGCTGCAGAAAACCCATCGCTGAGCCTTCTGTCCTCCCTTGGCCAGCAAGCAGTGGGCTCTGCAGGTGGGACAAATGGGAACTGTCCAGGCATGCTGGGTCCCTCACGGCAGAAGGGCCAGAGCTCAGCTGGGGGCTGTCGCAGCGGCTCCGGGCAGCAGCCAAACTGTGCGGGCATGCAGCCAACCGCTTCCAGCCGCGTCTGCTGTGTGTGAGAGCTGGTGTCCTATGTGGAGAGGGGTTGGAGGTTTTGTTCTGCCTGGTTGAGCAGAACTGGCAGGACCCGTGATTTCATGGTGAGTAGCTGGCCTTTGGGGTGTTTGTGTCATTCCTTTGTGTCACTCATAGGAGGGACTAGAAGGAGCCTGCACATCTGGGGACACAGCTGTGTGCAGGCTGCGATGCTCTCCTTACCCCAGGAGAGCTGGCGTTGCCTCAAGTCCCATCTCCACTGGGATAACCGGCCTTGGAGAGGGACTGGAAACAAGCTCTGCAGGGTGCTGCACGTGTGTGTCCTGGAAGCATTCACCTGGGGGCTGCATCCCTGAAAAATCCTGTTGCTGCTGTTGTCACCTCTATGGCACTGCTGGTGCAGCATCTTCCAGGCGGGCAGGTCTGTATCCTGGGGGGAAATGAGGGCTGCTTCAGCCAGCGCAGTTCAGCTGGTGGTCGCAGGGTTTTGGGAAACAGTTTTGTCATCACTGTGTCACTGGGAAGGGCAGCACCGCAGCAACGTGCAGGGAGAAAGGCGTAAATGCCGAGTCAGTTCTGGGTCAGAAAAGGTTTTTCTCAGGAAGCTGATACTGGCAGTTGTTCTCGGTGGTGTGTTTTTACCAGCTCACCCTGTGTGTGCAGCCGCAGGTCGGGCGCCCTGACCCACTGCAGCACCTGGCAGCCCCGTGCTCCTGCCCCGCGGGA